TTTCATTGAGAGCCTTGATCAAGGCCTCAATGTCTGACTTGCAGATGTATGCATCCTCCTGAGGTGGCTGAGACATGGCATGAGATGTGGAACCACCAGTGTGTGTTGTAGAGATCAAAGCTCTCCCATCATCTCCCATGCGCATGGTGTTTGGTATTGAGTACTCCTGAGCTCTTGCTTCATGGGATTTAGCTTGGCCATATTTATTTGCTGAGGCTGGTCTGAGATGAGGATGGAGGATCCAGCAGTTGGTCTTAGAGTGTCCTTGTTCCTTGCAATGCTCACAAGTTACTGATTTGTCTCATCCTCCCCTTGGTTTGAAGTAAGCCTTGTTGGCTGATGCATTTTCCATTTTTTCAGACTTGTGTGCCATGGACAGCTCTCCTTTTCCACCCCCAAAGAGACCATCTGAGCCTATCTCCTTTTGAAGTTGAGCATACACCTCATCATAGCATGGAAGCTCTTGTCTCGCAATATATGCTTCACCACATCATTGAAGCCTGAACTAAGAGTGAGAAGCAGTCCACATATCTTATCTTGCTCACGCCTAGCTTCAAGTGTATCAGGGTCACTTGTGCTTGGTCTTAACATCTCCAGCTCAAACCACAACTGACCATATTTTTCAAGATGCTTGGTGAAGTCTCCATCTTCTTGTAGGTTGTTTATGGCTCGCTTAACTTCAAAGATCCTGGTGAGGTTTGAAGTGTTACCATACACCTTGTGTAAGGTATCCCACAACTGTTTTTGTGTGGTACAGTGTGAGTATGAATCAATAAGAGGATCATCAAGTGAGCTTTGCAAGATAGACAGCACTATGAGATCTTGCTGAACCCATTTGCCTTCATCTACCACTACAACCTCCTTGCCATCATCTCCTTGGGTGATTTTCTTTGGAGCTGAACTTGAAATGACATGTTCTCAAAGACATTTTCCTCTAAGGGCTGTCTTAGCCAATCTAGACCATGTAATGTAGCTTCCTGGTCCCTTAAGGCAACAGTGGTAGCTAGTGAAGGGAAATGGGATTCAAAAGAAGAGAGGGTGGCGGTGGGGAGGGATCAGGGGGTTCGAGAGAGCGAAGAAGGGAAGGACTACCAGCAGTAGCCGGCGGAGGAGTCAGGACGGAGGCATTTTCCGGGGGGGAACCAGGGGTTCGCACTCTCAGACGTCTTTTTTTTTTTTGGTTTTTTGGTTATTTTCAGTTTAGAACTTTTAATCTTCAGTTTTCTCTGTTCTAATTCATCTTCATCTACAAATACACACTCTTTTTGTGTTCATATTTGTTGAGGATTTGAAGTAGCTCTAGCATTTTTTTGGAATAGCACATAGATGGTCTAGCTTTCCTTAAAACATTTTCAGTTTCCTGCATTATCAGTTAGTTACCGTTCGGCAGCTTCTCTGCGTTGTGACTATGGATCATTAGAAAATGTTTTAAGATTGTATCTTTTATTTTTTGCGTGAGACATGTTTAGGAAGAAGAGATGAAAAAAGGAGAACTTGAAGCAGATACCGATAAACTAATGCCTTGAAACTCTCCAAAGGAAGGAACTATAATTCTACTGAAAAGTCTCACAAAAGTTATATCATTAACTTTACTCGACTCAGAATATCTAAACCTTCGAGTAAGTTATTAACTATTGTTTTCCAATGGTCTCATAGATAAGATAGACAGATATTCAAAGAAGAAAAAAAACAAAAAGAGAAAGGTGCTTAGTTTCCTTAAAACAGCTGGTGCCATGCCTTTAACAGCTTCTATCAACATTAACCATGTTGTGAGTTGTGTTGTTTTGTGCTATGAGTTTGCAGCATTATTCTTCCTCAGAATCATCATCTAGCAGTGATGAAGACGAATCTAGAGGATCAATTTCTAAAAGATCAAAGAAGGAGAAGAATCACAAGTCCAGCAGAGACAAACACTCTAGCAAAGGTAAAAACGAGACTGAAGCCCCTGTACTAGATTCTTTAGCAAACTAAAGAGTTGAACAAACATGCAAAATAAAGAGGTGAAGAATAATAAATTTGCAAAGTCAGTTCTTCTCCCAACTTAAGCCTGACACTAATGATCAAAGATTGGATGCAAAGCAATGACAAAGTTAAGAAAAGTATTGTCTCATTGAGTCTTCCACATCATCATAAAGGTGAAGAATAATAAATTTGCAAAGCCAGTTCTTCTCCCAACTTAAGCCTGACACTAATGATCAAAGATTGGATGCAAAGCAATGAAAAAGTTAAGAAAAGTATTGTCTCATTGAGTCTTCCACATCATCATAAAGAACAAAAGTCAAGAAAAGTATTGTCTCATTGAGTCTTCCACATCATCAAGCTCAATCCTCAAAGTTTCAGTCTTCTTTTTGTGAACTCTTGCTACTCTCAACGCAATGAACAAGCTCCAAAACGTCCGAGACGTTCTTACCATATGCAACTGTTTAACAAAACAACAACCACATTAGAAGTTCTTACATATAATAAGCTAAAGATATTTAACAACAAACCTACCTCCTCTTGAGCCACTCTTATGGAGGCCCTCACCACATCGAGCTCACTCTGGCTTAGTTGCACATTCACTATCTCCCTTGCTACCAAAGCCTCATCTTAACGTTCAACCAGCATTATAAATTTTATATTTCGTCATTACATAGTGTTTTCCACATCTTCATAGCATCCAAACTCAAATATGAGCTCTTCTTTTGACATCTAAAGAAGTATTGTAAAATTTGTCTAGAACATCCAAGAGTATGGTCTAAACATAAATGGAACATATGTACTAACTTTGTGCATAGTCAATGATTAACAGTCGAACATAATCAAAGAAGAAAGAAAAACTCTAAAAGTTGATTAGAAATTAAAAGTTGAGAAATAAATTCAACTAGGTTTCTAGTCTAAATGGAATCATAGCATCTCTAATCAAAACATCATGTAAGCAAAAAATAACAGATTTTGTAATTGGATGCCTCTAATTAAAAAGGTACAAAGTATATAATTTAATCTTGCTATTAATACATTTTTAAGAAAAAGGACATAAATTTTGCTATAAATACATTTTATATCAAAATACGAGTTTGGAATTTCGTTTTCTAAATTTTCTAATATAATCTAACAAATATTATTATCTTTACTGTCAACAATTTATAAAAAAAATATCTATAACTTGAGAGCTGTAGAAATCAAGAAGTTAGTATTCATTATAACTATCCAAACTAAACATTGTCACTAGATTTATTTCTCGAAAAGAGCTAGCACTACCACTGAATAAATGAGAAACATTCTTAGATATTTTCCATGCACCAGAGCGGATGTTTGTTCTTAATTTTATAAGTATTATCTTCATAATGACATATACATATATATATATATATTAATATTTACTATATAATAAACTGTGTATTATAATATTTCCAAAAATATAATGTAAATTACAAAAGAATTAATTTATTGTTTAGAATTATTATTTGTATCTAACTTTCTTATAATATATTTATTTATTAGTTTTGAGCTGGAGTTTTAGATTAGTTACAATATTACATTCTTAAATAGTATTTATATCAGTAAGATATATTAATAAATTTAGTACTGGCATGTCTAATTAAATATTAAATTATTAATACTTATGTATAAAATTTATTTTATATTTTTAATATTTAAAGTACACAAATAAATATGTAAACTCACTCACTAACTCTTGTTTTAGATAAAATTTGGGCTTATATGTCTAGCATGTAGTTCAAATAACATAATCCAATATTCTAGATACTTCTATCTTATTAAATTACATATTAGAATCATATATAAATATAAATAAGATTAAAGATTCTCCTTGCCACTGAGTTTCATTAAGTTAATGAACGCTTGGTTTCCTATATTTATATAATTAACTCGGACGCATAATGTAATATTTATACTTTTAATATGATATATTTATTTGGTAGTTATTTTTTATTATCTTTTATAGTTATTTATTATTTATTTTCTTATATCAAATGGTAATATAAAATTTAAATGAATTTTTGAAATTAATGTATGAGCAATAATGAATTTGTCATTTTAATACAAATCATTCTAATAACAATGAATTTCCAAGTTGAATACACCTCTTAAAATCACTTAAATTCTTTAAAACCCACAACTTAAAAATCTTCTCTAAAGTGGTAGATGTTAAAGTATTTTATGCAATTTCACGTTTAATAACATTAAATTTTAAAGAAATATATAATACTTATGTTTAAAAAACAGTGAGTTTGTCATTTTAATTCAAACCACCTCAAGTTATTAGTTGAATACATCCTTCTATATTTGTTTTCAAAAAGAGCTATCACATAGCAATTCTCAATTCTTGTTTTCACATACAAG